TTCACAACGGTGGAATTACTTTGAGCTATCATTAGAAATGCAAGTGGAAATTTTTTTAAGCCAGACTTTCTGGGATAAACTCTCATTAATTTTGCATCTTCGCCGAAAACTCCAATAAGAAGAGCTGTACTCCAGTTACAATCGGTTTTAGCTTTATTCATTGCTGCGAAACTAGCTTGTGAACAATAGAAACCATTTCCAATGTGTACCTAATAAAACATATTTATTGGAAATATATTTTATATTAAAAAGATCAACAATAAATAAAAACAATAATTAGATATAGATAAACTTTTAAGCACCTTATTTTCTATGTTTGAAGTTGTACCGACAGTGTTGTATTTTTCTACGAAGTCACCAAATACTTTTTCTGCAAAAATTGTTTATTTGTCATAAAACAATCACTTTTCAAACAATTCTTATGAGTATCTATTGTCAATATAAAAAAGTAAAGACAACTTATATGTTTAAAATATCATTAAAAATCATTATTATAAAAAGGCCAGTTTATTGATACACACATCAGCGCAAATTTTATTTTTACAAATTGTGAAGAAAAAGAACATTTTCCAGCAGAGATACAGTGTTACACAGTATGTCGTTTCATTCTTATTATCAATGTTAAACTAGCAAAATGGTATGTTGCAATGTGTCCTTCCAACAAATTGCTCAATATTTAATGATGAAAAAGAATATTCTCTCATAAAAATTATTTTTAAATGGATTATGTATTAAATATTAAATAAAGCTTTGATTACTGAAATAATTGTATACGATAGTTATCATTTCTTCAAATAGAACGCGATTAAATTAAATATAAAATAAACAGACACAAAATTTAATATATAATATATGCATATATAAAAGAATGAAATACACTTTCATTGTTTATTTGATATATATTAATATATATATATATATAACATATATACATACATATATTAATGGCAAATATTGACTGCGTTCCGTTTCACGCATATACGCGCATTCCCCTATAGTAGACGCTCACTATATAAAATGCGCGCATATGAAACGGAACGCAGCCATTGATATATATCGTTCAGTTAACATAATCTCTTGCTGTACTTCAAGCAGAAAGCAATAATCATTTCGTCTTGTCATCGAAATATATTTATTATATCAAATGAAACAGCATTTATTTTGTTCTTATATCAGGTACAGTTTTAAATTTAGAAGAAATTCAATATTTTAGTTATAAATAACAGATATTTAATTTGTGTATTATGAATAAAGTTGCTCAATATATTAAGCACTTTGTAACTGGAAAAATATTAATATGAAAATGATTAATGTACATAAACATGTGTAACATACGATGTTCTGTAAAAGACTTGTTCATATTTACTATTACATGAATACCTATCATGTATCAGAAAATATAAGCAATTAATTTTGTTCATTTCAATATAGGATGGGCCATTTTAATCTCCCCACCTGAATTTCTCGAAAACTAAATCCTGTAGACAAAAATGTTTCAAATAAAAATGGAACGGTGTAGAGGGGGACACGTTTTAGTCAAGTTGTTTTTTTTTTCTAAGTAAGGAGGCGCTAAAAAGATATGAAGGTCACCTCCACTTTTTTAAATGGAATTATGTAATTTTTTTTAGATAACGTGATTTCTCTAATTATTTTGCATATAAAAGTATTAAGGTAGAGATACCAAAAAACCAATAGTTTTCGAGATATTTTATACTTTATTTTGATACATATTGACACAAAATGTTAAATAACTCGTAAACTGTTGACTTTTTGATTATCGTACCTTAATACTTTTGTGAACAGAATAATGAGATAAATCAAATGATGTAAAGAAAACACATATAGTTGCTTTAAAAAAAATATGTATACAAAATGGATAATTTTTTAAATACGCAACTATGTGTTTTTTGGTATCTCTACCTTAATACTTTTATATGCAAAATAATTAGAGAAATCAAGTTATCTAAAAAAAATTACATAATTCCATTTAAAAAAGTGGAGGTGACCTTCATATATTTTTAGCGCCTCCACTTAGAAAAAAAACAACGTGACTAAAACGTGTCCCCCTCGACACCGTTCCATTTTTATTTGAAACATTTTTGTCTACAGGATTTAGTTTTCGAGAAATTCAGGTGGAGAGATTAAAATGGCTCACCCTATATATATCTTTCAAAATTGAAATGTCAGATTTCTACGAAAGTTTATATTTACAGTACCGTATATACATTATATTATTTACGTACATTATTTATGATACTAAGGACTTTCCTTTTAATAACAAAAGTGGTCGCAATAATCATATTATTTTGTTACATTCAATAAGTAACAAAGACAGAATACTTATGTCGATCAAATGTTCTAAAAGGTAAGTAGTCAAAATATTTTTGATGTACAATGATTAGAAAATAATATATAACATTGCCATTAATTTTATGTATTTTATATAGAATTTTTGTATTTGCACTGCTTTTCTGTAAGAGACTTAATCATTGTAATACACACAGTAACAATTCAGCTGTTAGAACAATCATTGATTGATGATACGATACAATTTAAAAACAAAATTAAAAAAAATTATCCTACTTACCCAATGGTAATTGAAAAACTTTATGAAATTCTGACTTTTCTTTTGTATATTTAACGATTCTGTAACATATTGAACATTATCTGAAGTGATGAAATGAAACTTACCAAACATTTCTTTTATTTCAGAAACAGTATTCTCAAACATTTGTGATATATGTTGGTTCATATTATTCATTTTTTCATCCATTTTATGCGTTTTCTCTTTTAAAAGATTTCTCAAGTCTTCAAGTGCTACAGACACGATGTTACTTTTATTACAATTACATACATCTTGTTGCTTCTGTGAGTATCTCATTGTAATTTGTTCACTATCTGTCATTTCGTCAGAACAGTCACTAATTTCATTTTCTGTATGGTCAATGCAATTTCCTTTTACAAATTTTTTATATTCTTCTATTGCTGCTATTTTTTTGTTTGATTTTCTTTGTGCCTGTATGTACGTGAATACATATGAAAGAAATACATTATAAGTAAAAAATGTATTTACTTAAAGAATAATCTTATTCGATCATACACTGTATCTTCCTGTTGATATTTCTTGTATGATTTTAAATGGAGAAAAACTGAATTAGATAATACAACACGTGATATTATTTTTAATTTAGTACAATTTTTTCTCCAATTAAAATAAAAATTGTTACTATTATCACGCACACATGCACGCACGCACACATACACAATTACATATATAAAATAGAGTAGATTGACTTTTGTATATATATATATATATATATATATATATATATATATATATATATATATATTGTGTGAT